TTTTTTTCTAATCAAACATGTTTTTAGTATGCATTTATCTTTTGCTAAGTTCTGGGGTTCAGAAACAAAAAGAGAATCAACTTCTGCCTTCAGTTTTATATCATATTGATGGACAAAACAAAAATATGTGCATGTGATCATTTGAGGAGGTAGAAGGTTCTGTTGGAGGTAGGAGTTTCTTGATTTGGAGGTGAGGAAAGGCATGGAAGCAAGAGATAATGCAGTGGTCAGAGAACAGCAAGTAAGCCAATCTGTCTGGAAAGTTGAGTATGTTTATGTTGTAAAGGTAAGGTGGGAGCCGTTTTGTGAAAGGCTTTAAGTGCTGCAGTGAAGATTTCCCCTACCCCTGCCTCACCAAATGTAGACTAGTCTCCCTCCTGGAAGAGAAGGTAAAGGGATTTGAGGGATGTCTTTCCACACTCCTAGTTGTTAGGCACAATGATGAATTCCTAAAGAAAACAGAAGTAGGGTTTTAATGGGGGAAAATGGAGAAATAGAGACTTCACTCTTGTTAGAAATTTGAAGATTAGAAGTATCACAAAGGAAAGGAGGGGAAAGGACAGAATTAAAACAAATAAAACATTTTTTGAAGTTTTTCCTGAAGAGGGTGGTGAATGATGTGAGAAAAAAGCAGCACCTTGCCCTCCAAGTAGTGATATCATTGTGCCATAGTCATTAAGGATCACAGGAAAAAGCAAAAAGAGTAGTGGTTGTTAATTTCTTACTGATGGGTACTAAGGTATCGATATGTATTGAAGACAAACTTCTGAACTCTTATCAAAACTGATAACTACTTCACACTTCTGGTGATTAACATGGGCACAAATGTGGCTGTCAGAAGGAACCTAAAAAATTATTGCTACAGATAATTAACTTTTTAGCCAGAAACTGAAGACCTTAAAGCACAGGTTATATTTTCCCTACTGTTGCCAAGGAAGAGAAGCAAAAGAGAAAAACTGAGTTAGTTAGGAAGCAAATGGTGGCTAAGGAGGGAGTGCTTAAGAATGGGTTTTGAGCTTCTCAACAATGGCTTAAAATATAGGGATGACAGATTCCTCCTGCCCAGGGATTCGGTATACCAAATCAGGATTAATAAGATTATATTAACAGGTTTCCCTACAAATCTAATCAAAAGGGCTTTAAGCTATAAAAATAAAGTAGAAGGGAAAATGTCTATGTAGATCTGCCAATCCAGATATTATGGAGAGTAGCAACAATGAAGAAAAATAGTATTTCAGACAAGAATAGCAAGAGGGAAATATTCAAGAAGAGAACCAAGAGTAAAAACTCATGACCTCAGATGTCTAAATACAGTTTAGATAAAAAGCAAGAAGTAGGTCGGTGTCCTGATGTAGTGCAAATAAGCAAATTTGACATCCTAGGTATCACTGAGATTTGATGAGATGATACCTGTGATTGGAATATGATTCTGAAAGGATAATATGCCTTATTCAGACAAAACAAGATAGACTAAAGTGGGTTGGGGTTTGGGTAGCATTGTGTGTAGTATAATAATGTGAAGCAATCCAGGAATTGGAGAAGGAAAGCATAGCATTTGGGTAAAGATCAGAGGAGGAAGAAACAAGTGATTTTTGTCATTAAGTATGCTATAGAATACCTCAACAGAAAGATAAAAGAGTTAGGGAGATAGATCTCAAGCCTAACACGTAAGTATGATTTGGTAGTAATTTCAGTTATAGTGAATATGGCAAGGGATTATCCTATACAGAAATCTTCTGGAACTCTGCCAAAAGCAGAATACTTAATAATTTCTTTACTCTCCTTAATGATAATTCATCTTTCAAAACCAACAAGGGGAAATTGTATACTGAGTGTGATTCTGACAGTGAGATTTTGGATGTTAGAGGTAAGAATGATGGGAATTTTGTGGGTTAGGAGATTGACTACTTCATTCCAGAGTTCAGGATAGAAAAGTAAATCCCATTTCAATCCTTAGAGTCAGGATAGGTCCTGGGGACTAAAATTATGTAGAGAAAATCAGCCCACAAAAGATGGGACACTCAGGAGTGTAATTTTGGATACAAAGGGAAAAATTCCAGTGAGAAAGAAAAATGGGAGTTATCTGAAGCTATTTGATCATATGCACAAGGAACCTGCCAGCCAACTTAGGTTTTTAAAAGATAAGCACAAAAGTCAAAAATAAGGACAGGTAAACAGAGTATGAATTTGAGTATAGCATTTTTCAGTGTCTTAAAAAATAGTTTCAAGAGTTGAGGAAAATTCAAACAAAAGTTTTTTTTAAGCTATATTGGAGAAAAAGAATAAAATCAAAAAAGGCACAGTACTTCTGCTTAGAGTGGATGGAACAAAGATTAGACAGCAGAAAGAAAGCAGACCTGTTCAGTTTTTACTTTTTCTCATTCCAAAAGAATGACCCATGCCCTGAAATTGCCAAAACAAAAATGGTTAATAGGGATTTGATATCATATAAGTAAGGAGATAATAACAAAGGATTTAGTTCACTGTGATGACTTCAAGTCACTTGGCCCAGATGAACTGCATCCTTGACTACTGAAAGAAGTGGCAAAAGTGCTTAAGCCATTGTTAGTTTTATATTTATTTTAATATTTAATTTTTATTGATAGCTTTTCTTTTTACATCACCTTCATTTATGAATGAATCCTTCCCTTACCCAATAAACCATCCCTTCTAACAAATAATACATAAGAGAAAAAAGCATTGGCAAAACTAACCAAAATGCTGCATAAAAAGGGAACTCTATCAAACCTTCAAGCCTTTTCAAGCCTCCTGCAATACCTTTTGTTCTTCCTCTCAGCTAAGTATCATACCTCACAGGTAACAGAGACAATTCACCCTAAGTTGCTGCTTCTCTCCTGCTCCATACCTCAAAACCCTTACTATTAATCTCCTTAACCATTCTCCTTTGTTTCATTCGCTGATAAATTAGGTGGTCCTTCTTGCCAGCAATAAACTTTCTTATGCGCTAGTAGCACCAGTTACATGGTACATAAAGTACATAGAGCACTGTGCCTGAAGTCAGGCTGAATTCAAATCTGTCAAATTCAAGTAGCTGTGTGATTCTGGGCAAGTTACTTAACCTCTGAATACCTCAGTTTCCTTAACTGGAAAATGCAGATAACAACAGCACCTACGGCTCAGGATTGTTGTGAGCATCAAGTGAGAAAATATTTGCAAAGCGTAGTGCTTGGCATGTAGCAGGTGCTTAATAGTAATCCTTTCCCCTTATTCCTTCCTTTCTTTCTGCCCTTCTCCCTCACATTTTCCCCAAAAGCTCGCTTTTGAAAATATACTCCTTGTTTTTTAGCCTTCAATGTGCTCTTTTTACTGTTTCCTTCCTAGTTACATCTAATCCCCATGTTCTGTGGTTCTTCACCTCATTTCTTGAGCAGGTCCAACCAAAAGGTATGATTTCTGCTCCATCTTAGACTTCAAAGGCCAATGACAGACCAGTAGATTAGGAAGTCTTTCTTCTCCCCCAAAATGCAACAAACTCTTCCCAAGGCCAATGACTGGTTTTGAACCCGTCATGACTGTGCTTTCTATATATTCTAAATAGTTGTGGGACATGAGTCATCTTCAGAAGACATCCTTCTCTTTGAACTAGCTGATAACTTCTTCCTTGTTTTAACTTGTTACTACAGACAAAATAAAACCTTTTAATGGTGTGTGTCCTAAATTATAAACAATGGGTTTTCTTTCCCTAGCACTAGCTACAAGATAGTGAACAATTAACCTACTACCCCAAAAAATGTTCTCAAGAATAGAAAAATAAAATTCCATACCACTGAGAGACCCAAACCAGGAAAGAATAAAGCAGAGAAAGATAACTCTAGACCAAGGCTTCTGAAACTTTTTCTACTTTCAATCCCTGCAGCACCCAGTCGCAACCCACAGTGTAAGAAGTGCTGCTCTAGGGGAAGCTAAGTGGCAGAGTGAATAGAGCTCTGGCCTTGGAGTCAGGAGGACCTGAGTTCAAATCCAGCCTCAGACACTTAATACGTACTAGCTGTGTGACCCTGTCATGTCACTTAACCCCAGTCACCTCACCAAAAAAAAGAAAAAAAGCGCTGCTCTAGAGCAATCTCAATAATGAATATTGATGTAAAAATTCAAATAAAATAAAATAGCAACTTATGCCAAAAATCATTCACTATGATCTGATAATATGTAAGCTCCTTGAAAGGAAATACTGCCTCGTATCTCTTTTTGGTCTTTCTTATCCTTGGCATCATACCTAGTATGTTAATAGGCATTTGATAAGAGCTTGTTGAGTTGAATTTGTAAAAGAAATGCAAGTATATTTCAACATAAGGAAAACCAGTTAGCATAATCAATAACACAATTAGCAAAAATGATGATTATATAAATAGATCAAGGAAATACCTTCAACAAAACACACCACTCCTAAAATGCAAAAGCATGGCATTTTACATGTCAGAAGCATATATCTCAAATCAAAAGCTGGGTTTATTTATCATAGAGACATGCTCTGAAAGCTTTCTTAATGAATTTAGAGCATGTCTCCATCGCTATTATTTGACTTAGTATTAAAATATTAGCTGTAGCAGGAAGAGTAGAAAAAGAAGTTGAGGTATTAAACATTGTCCAAAAAAAAAAAAAAAGGCAAATTATCCCTCTTCATAGATAATATGATGGTTTGATTTGATCCCAGAAGTACCCATGAAGCTGTCTGGTTGAGTCACCTTACTTTACACATGAGGAGACTAAAGCCCACAATGATGAAGTGACTTGCTTAAGTAGAAGTGCCTGGATTCATATCCTGGTATCCTTTGATTGAAAACCTGGGGCTCTTTCCATTGCACTCCACTGCAATCCTCAAAGAATCAGTGAATGAAACTAATTGACATGCTTTTGTAAAGCATCAGAATGACTGCACAAAAATTCATTATCATTTCCTAAATTGATTTTTCTAGGAATTTGTTAGAAATTATTTCAGAAATGTTTTTTAACGATTTTTACATGTATGTTTATTGCAGCAAAACAATGACCAGAACAGCAGCAGCGTGAATACTCATATGATTAGGAATCCAGGTTAGTTTTATTTATTGTTGCCTTTCAATAAGAAGCATGAGTATTTTGTATACATTCTAAAACACTTTAGTTTTGCTCTGTAACTGTATGTTTATCTCATTAACACCTCTTATAGTTATCATGTTGTTTTTTGTCACCCAGGCATGTTTATATGTTAGAGATAAATAGTTCTGTTTCCTCATGAATATATGTTACACATCAGCTACATTTCCTAAGTCATTTCTAAGATTACTGAAAGTTATTTTATTTAGAATCATGTGGTTAATAATTAAGGTAGCCTAATTAAATAAAAACTTGTAAAAAATATTTTAGCTTAAATGTTTGCTTTTCCTAATTGCCAGACTCCAGGTATCATAGACTACCCTTATGATATTAGCCACAAATGAAATAATCTTGCCAGTTTCCATATTTATGAATAGTTCTTAATGACGTTATGTGATAGGAACTGTGCAAATAGCGAAAAGAAGAGAAATACTACTGTTGCCCCTAATTATTTTCACATTCAGTTAAAAAAGTAGTGCTCCCCTCCCTTCTGCTACCAAACATTTATCTGGCTCCATTCAGGAATTGAACTTTGCTTTTTGGGAGGTGGGAATTGGAGGCATCAGTTAATTTTAATTCCCTTTAGTGTTCCTTAATGTTGTAAACATAAATCAGACTTTTTTCTTTTTTACACAGATATGGAAAGGCTAAAAGAGAATACAAATCATGATGACAGCAGCAGGGACAGTTATTCTTCTGACAGACATTTGTCTCAATATCATGACCATAAAGATAGGCATCAGGGAGATGCTTACAAAAAGAATGAGTCCAGGAAAAGATCGTATTCATCCTTTAGCAATGGTAAAGATCACCGGGAATGGGATCATTACAAACAAGAAAGCAGGTAAACTTTGCCACTCGTTTTATGTTTTTTGTTTTTTTGTGTTTGTTTTTGTTTTTGTTTTTGGCTAGGCAGTGGGGTTAAGTGACTTGCCCAGGGTCACACAGTTAGTAAGTGTTATGTGTCTGAGGCTGGATTTGAACTCAGGTCCTCCTGAATCCAAGGCCAGTGCTCTATCCACTGCACCACCTAGCTGCCCCTGCCATTCGTTTTATAAAAGATATTTTGTGAGAAATAAATATGTTCAAATAAACTTATGAGTGAAAAAAAGAGAAACTTTCTTCAAACTTTCTTCATATTTTATCTTTCGAATTACCCAGTAAGAAAAAAGCCCATTCCTCCTCTGCTTTTTTTTAAAAACAAAGTTACAATAGAACCCAAAATTATTATAAGTCAAATAATCTTTCCTGAAATTTTACGGAAAATTCCCTGAAATTAGTTTCAGTAAATGTCTTATGAAATAATGTAGATTTTTTTCTCTCTGCTAATATTAGTGTTTCTTTTCTAAAAAGCTTTGTATAGTATTTTACTAAAATTCATCTTCTAAAATCTGAAAACCAATTGTAGCTATGGACTTAATCTCACCAGGCTTCAGTTTCCTCATTTGTAAAATGAAGGTGCTGGACAACTTGATATCTAAGGCCTAAGTCTAGTTCTCAAGCTTATAATCTTAAGTATTTTTATTATTAGAAAGTGATTCACTATTGTGGATAACCCTTACACTCCAACTAAAGTGGATTTACAAAGCTTAGAATGAATGCAATGAAGGAAGCAATACTTACCCTACAAGTTTTCAATGTCTTAAGAATAAATATTATTTTCCCCAATCGTCATTTCAATTTTGCCTAATAAACACATGGTAAGTGCTTGTTAATTGATTACATAAAAAGCTATTTTTAAAATCTTTTTTATTAGGCTATTATTTTATTATAATTATTTATTATTAGTCATTTATTAGATCGTAGCAAGAATTCATAGTTCTTGATATGAAATGCTGAACTTATGCATTATTTAAAAGAGCAGTGAATAGTTTTCCATGATGAGTCCGCATTAGTAAAATTTAATTTTAAGGGCTGTCTTTAATTTTGCTAATAGACTTATTTTCTCTCTCATCAGATACTACAATGATAATAAACACAGAAAAATGGATGACCATAGGAGTAGGGATCACAGATCAGTTTTGGAAGGAAGTTTAAAAGACCGACCTCATCCTGACCACCGTTCTCATTCAGATCACCGGTTGCACTCAGATCATCGATCAAGTTCTGAATATTCACACCATAAAACTTCAAGAGATTATCGGTATCATTCAGATTGGCAGATGGACCACAGAGCTTCCAGTAGTGGCCCTAGGTCACCACTAGATCAGAGGTCTCCTTACGGCTCAAGATCACCTTTAGGTCATAGATCTCCATTTGAACATTCATCTGATCACAAAAGTACACCTGAGCATACTTGGAGTAGCCGGAAAACATAACAAATACTGACATTGCCCATCTGGACTTTGTTTTAGCCATATATCGTAAACTACCACAGTAATTGCCTTACATGACTTGAAAGATAAGGACAGGATCCTCCATCAGTAGCAGTATTGTTACTTCTTTCCAGGATGCAAGGTCTATTATCCCAACAGAAGAAAAATATTTTTGTATTTAAGGATTATGCTGCACTGTGTTACAAAGTGTTGTAGCACTTTTTTTTTTAATAATGGAAAATGTTTACTTTTTACAGGGACCTCAACACTGCCCCATTTAGACTGGATAAAATTCTTTGTGTCAGTGATTTTAGGCTGAACTCCATTTAAATTATGTTTGTAAATGAACTTTACACACTGACCTGTAATCATGTTTCAGGAAGGAATGAAGAGTTTTGTTTTGTTTTGTTTTTCCTTAGCAAAGAACTCTCAAGGACTTTGTTCACTTTCCAAAGCTACTTGTTTACATTGTACACTGCGACCACCTTGCCGCTTCTCATCACAAGCTTGAATATTTAAATTCTGTACCTATGACTGTAAAATATCCGGGAATTCTTGTTTGTGATAAATTGTAATGCCTTTTTACAAAATAAAATAGCTGTAAATTATTGTAAATTAATTAAATGAGCTTTCCTTCCCTCCCCCTCTCAGGCTTTTTTTAACTGTTCCTTTCCCCACCAACTCAGGCCTTCTTGTCATAAAAAAGGACAAAACTCAATGTATTAACAACACTTTTTAATAAATTGTCTTGATGGAATCACTGTTTAGAATGTAAAAATGGGGAAAGGGAACATTATTCCATTATATTATCCTTTAGGATTCCTTTTATATTGGATATTTTATTAGATACATTTTTTTAAAAGCCAGTGTTGTGATTGTTTGTAGTAATGACGTACTATCTAAACTGCATGCTCTGAAAACTTTTTTTTTCAGAAGCATTGGTTTAAAAAATACCTTTGTGAACACATCAGAACCCAAATCAGCCAAAATTTATTGTAAATCCATTTGTTTTCCTTTTTAATGTGGGCAATAATGTCAAATGTGCTATGCAGCCAGTTAATATTTTAGATGAACTGATTGACTTTTAATAGAAACTGTTACAATGCACACTGATTGTATATAGATACCTTCTACATATGACAAATTAAATTTAACAAAAAGGATATGTGGACTCCTGTACTTTTCTGCCTTTTTACTCCCTCAGCACTTAGCAAAATTTTTACGAGCTGCCAAAAGTATATATTTTTTGATAGCCAATTAAGTATCAATCGTCAACACTACAGTTATATCTGATTTAAGGATACATGGGCAAAAATTATAATAAACAGCTGACAGTTAAATTTAGGTCACTGTTTTAGACTGTTTTGGAACTCTGGCTTCTGCAAATATTTTATATTTTCTTGAGGATGTTTTGCATGAATATTTGGTTTCTTTGAATTTTTAGATCATGTAAGATGTTAAAAGTCAAAATCTTCAACTTCAAAGAACACAGGAGCCTTTTAATTATGGAAAAATTATTTTTATAAAAGGTTATGGAATAAAATGATTTATAGGTAAAATATATTTTAGAATATTGTTTGCCCTTTCATTTGCCCTCTCATTTATTTTACATGTATAAAGCGAGTGAAAATGTATTGACTATACTTCAAAAAAAAAAAAAGCAAAGCTTCATCTTTTCCATCAGGTAGCCCTGCCTGGCAAATTAGTAAGATGTCTCATTCCTGTTAGATAGGGAGAACCCAAAAGGAAATGCTTCAAAATTTTCAGATCTGTTTTGCCTTATTAATCATGAGAAAGTGATAATATACAGTATTTTTCCTTCAATATGAAAAGTGCAGGTATGATTCTATGATTTTAATTTTTTCAACTTGCTCATGTTCTTGATAAACCTGGTTTTATTGCACAAAGTGATAATTAACTGAAGATTTATCATAATGCCTAAGTGAAAAATCGTAACATATTAAAAATGTGTTTGGGTTGTTTGGTTTTTTCCTTCATTACAACTGTAGATAGAGTTCTTGATCTGTTATTGGATGTATTATGTTCAACCCATCACACATTATTGTTACTGTAGAATGGGCTAGATTTAAATCTTACTGTGCTACAATTAGTTAGACTATTTATGTAATATGAGAATTACTGTGAGAATTATTCTTTTTTTGGTAAGAATCCAAAACTTATGTGAAAGAGGAAATAGCCATATATTCAGAATAAATGAGAGAGTAACATGACCACATAGATGTTGTTGATGGGAAAGTCCCTGCACAATGACCCTTTTTTTCATCTGTGTTCCACTTGCTTAGTCTTTATTTTGGTCCATTTCTGTTTGAAGATGAGAGAATCTTATGCACAGTACTGTATTAAACACCCACTTTACAATAATGATATATAATAAATAATTCTTATAAAAGCAATGGCCTGTTTGCTTATATAAAGAGATTGATCTTTTTTATTAGAAGATATTTTAAAGTTTAAGCTTTTAGAAAAATGTGAGAAACTGTTCAGAATTTGACTCATTCTAGACTGAATTACCATTTTAATAAAATGGAATCCCTATCTTTACAAGTGATACTGTAGAGGTTTGTATAATTATACCAATGTAGCTGAATAATTATAGAACTTAAACATGTTCTTTTATGTAATCTGCCTCAGTTAGCTTACTGCTTTTTTAGGTCCAGCGATTTTCTTTCATGATTGAAAGGTGCTAAGTGATGTACCATTTCTAACTGTATAGCAAATAACATTCTGTGAGTGGATCTTCTACGGTAAAAGCCATAAAGATTATTTCAAATGGAACTTGTTTAAAATTGACAAGCTTCATAAATGTTAGGGCTTTTAGGTACTTTGGGATGCAAGCATTTCTAGTGTTTCTATAGGTGTGTGAAATTTAATCATGAACTAATAAATGTGACTATATACTTGTAAAAGGTCATATATTCTCCACATCAATGTATTCATTGTTTAATAATTACAACTTGTTTTAAAGAAATATATTAACATTAGTGGCTATATTATGTGAAGGCATGTAGCTTTATGCTTAAATGCAAGACTTTGAATTTAATTTTTTTTAATGTAAGTTGATTGTCAATATAACAGAAAAAGATTGAGCAAAGGAAGTATAACTAATGCATTGACTTGTAAACAAAGCTGAGCTTTTCCTTTTCTAAGGGAAGTTCTTGACTATTAATAATGAATTCCTCTATAGCAAAGGTTCTTAACCTGGAGGGGGTGAACTTGTTTTGTTTGGTTTTAACATTTTGATCACTATTTCAATATGATTGATTTCCATTGTGATGCTATGTATTTTGTACATTTAAAAGCCTTACTCTGAGTGGGCTTCACCAGACTGTCAAAAGAGTCCCTGACAAAAAAGTTTAAGAACCCCTACTCTGTAGAGATCTTTTTTAACTCTGGAAGATATAATGTCATTCAATTGTAATTAGGTCTACATAGCTTTTTAATGACCATATAATATCCTTATATATTAGGCTCTTGATTGTATTTCCCACTTTGGAGTTCCTTTTGAAAAAAGACTTTATAATACAAAATCTGAAAGACCTGATTTCAAGCCAAGCCTTTTACGCATATTGACTGTATAACCCAGGGCAGTTTAACCTCTTAAATCTCCTAAGCAGCTACAGAACAGTTACCAGTCAGCATTGATAGAGTTACCAGTTGGTATAAAAGCATGCTAATTTCCCATATTAAAACACAGAACAATGAAATAATTTCATAGTACCTTTTTTTTTGTGGCAATTGGGATTAAGTGACATGCCCAGGGTCACACAGCTACTTAGTGTCTGAGGCTGGATTTGGACTCGGACCTCCCAGGCCAGGGCCAGTCTCTATCCACTGCATCACCCAACTACCCCACAATACTTAATTTTTTTTATATAATATGTAGTTTTTAAGGACTTTTTTTTTAACACATTGGAAAATATATTAAGGCAAAAAAGTACTAGGTTATTTTGTGAGAACACCATACTCAATTAGTCATTGACAGTCATCTTGTCTCTAACCTTCATAAGTGTACTACTGACTAGCACAGTTTTTGAAATTAAGCAAGGGTTCTATATTTTTCATCTACTTGGAAATGATAGTGAAATTAAAGTTCCCAATCTACTGAAATGACTTTTCCTTTTGTTCAGCCTACCTCAACCCTGATCAGTATGTACATATATATAGTGACTTGCACAGAACAAACCTTATAACTAGAGAGAATTGTGAAATGCACAAAAATACAAATACATATTTATACCTACATACTTAGTGTATACAACATTCACCACATGTGATTTTGCTAAAATAAGTTTCTGTTCAAAATCAGACCTTAAGATGAAAATAGCTTTTTATTAGTAAATTAAGCAGATACAAAAAATTGCCTTGAACCCAGTAGGGAATAGAAGGATAAAGTTAACTATCCCAAATTTCTTCTGTTTCCTGTATTTCATTATGTATTGTTTGAAGGTTTATTTATGTTTTCTTGTTGGAATGTTTACTTAGCATGATATCGTAGCTAGAGGGCTAATCTCAGCATCAGAAAGACCGTGGGTCTGATTAACTCTGGTACATACTGATTTAGTGAAACGGGGCAAGTCATCTAAGTTTAGTGCTCCAAGTAACTTTGAGGCAAGAATTTTCTAGTAGTTTCTGAGGTGCAATGGTAGACGGAGTTGCCTTCCCTTAAGTTTCCTACACTAAAGAAATTATAGATCCAGTATCAAAAAAAAAAAAAAAGCATTTTGTCCATGAACCAGCTAGGTTATGGAAGTAACTTTAATATACAGAATGATTCTTGGAAATATTTGTTACTGTTTTTTTCCTGTAACTGGTTCATCAGCATTTGTGAATTATAACTTTTACTTTTAATGGGAAATCTTGCATTTGAGACCTGCTTACATGTGTTTTGGCTAAGGTTTACTGTAAATATGCCATCATTTTGAAGGCATGTTTCACAAGTATTTTATATTTATTATTTTGTATTATCCAGGTGTACATTTACTTTCTAGAATACAAAAATACTATATAATAATATTAATGGAAATAAACTACATAACTGTGAAATTTCTAAACTCTAGTTGAAAAATTTGTGTTAGCATTTGATATTTCTTTGGCTAACTAATATGAGTTATTTGTCTGCTGCCTGGGGGTATGTTCAGTCAGATTGCTATATGACATGCAGCATTCATAGAAACATAGACCACTAAGAGCTGGAAAGGATTTTAGAGCTGGACCACTCCACCTTTGCCCTCCCAAGGGGTCCATGAATAGATTTCAGTATCCTTTCCATTTCAGAGAAATCCATCTTGCATTTTCAAATTTCATTATTTGATTCTTGAGGTAACATACTGGGTTTTCCCAGAGAAAAATGAGAGATTTATAAAAATTTAGTAATGAAATGGACAACAAAAATAAATTATTTAAAAAAAAATTATGAGTAAGCAAAGATACATCTTTTTTGTACCATGACCCAGTTACTTAATGTATAAGATGTTTCTAAAGATCTAACATGAGAACTACAAAACAGGACAAATAGTAAAATTATTACTAGCAGCAGTTTATAGATGTTTTTAAAAGACTCCAATAACATATTTTTTTAAATTGATATTAGAACAGGTGTTCTATTGACATTTGTCAATAAACCTTTTTTTATTACAGTGTATTTGGTCTGGTCATTTGTGGCTTAATAAAAAGTTGGTCTGATTTCCTCTCTTTTGTCTCACCAAGTCAACTGAGCATACTTAAAAGAACTGTTACCTCAAAAGAGCAAAGTTCTGGTGTCATAGACATGGCTTTCAGTGAATTAGCTTCTGTCCAGTGTATGGGGCCCATTGGAGCCTGTTTGGTCTAACAAATCTAGGGAAACAGCAGTATGTGGCTTTCAGGAAAGCTTGGTTCATGTTTCAGCTCTGATACAGTTTGACTTCAGAAAAAAAAAAATCTCTTCACCTCTGTTCCCTAGTTTTCTCACATGTAAAATGATAGGATTGAATTAGATCAGGGAATCTTAACTTTTTTTTTTGCTTCATGGGTCCCTCCAGCAGCTTGGTGAAGACCAGGGATACTTTTCAGAATGATGTTTGTTGCCTGCATTCATAATTCAATTAATTCAATAATTCCTAATTCAATAATTCAAGGAAATGCTAAGTTCTAGTTAGGAGTTAGTGAAGATAAAGATTTTTTTCTCCAGTTTCATAGACCCCCTGACATCTATCCACAGCCATTGCGGGGAGGGGTCCATGGACTCCAGGTGAAGAACCTGGAACTTAAAATCCTTTCCAGTGCTTATTGGTCTTAAGTTTTTATGAAAACTTGTCATGTGGTGATTTGAGTAGGGGCCCTGAGCAGGTAGAAGCCAGCAGTGCTCTGAATGGAAATCTCTCATGGAGTGTGAAAACCACAGATTGCAATGCTGTGACCAAGGACCCTCCAAGGCAACTTGAAGACCACAGAACTGTGAGTTATAACAATCTATGAGGGCTAAAAGCTGCCAACACTAAGCACAGGCACATTAGGGGAAATGGAAACCAGGAACAGGAGCTAAAGACATTAAGGTCAGCACCAAATAGAGCTCAACCACCCCATCTTGCTGTTTTTTGAGTCATGCCAATTGTGGCCAAGCCCAAAGGGAACTTGACCCAAGGAGAAAGAAGGGTCCTACTCTGTCAATGCAAGAGCATTCCTACACCCATATACACACAGCTGTACAAGTGTTTCATTTTTCTAAAGTTGAATAAATGAAGGTTTAAGAAAAATTAAAGACCAGAATAAAATTTAGAAATCTTAGAAAAGATATTGTAAGGTCCAGAATTCCCCTGGCTGGGGAACCCTGTACCTCCCCCATAACTGGGGGATGTTCTTGAAACCAAAAGAAGAGGCCAAGGAGCTCCAGATTGATTATAGGAGTTTAATCATTTATTATAATTACTTACAAAACAGGGCAATCTGGGGCAGCTGCCAGGCAGTTCAGTGTATCCCCACCAAAGAACCCCCAAAATCCCCATGCTAATTATAGAAAACAGACAAAGGGAGGAGCAGCTAGAGAGTGCATCACTACTGATTGGTGGATATTTTTGGTTTTGGTTTTTATTTTTTCTTAGTAATGAGCTTGGACGTTAAGCAAATGTTATGCCAAACCTAAGTTTGTGTATTAATCATGTTCTAGTTACATATGGGTCATGATATTCTTGTTATGGTTTTCATAGGTCATAATATCTAAGTTTTGACTCAGTGTCTAAATCATGATTCAGTATCTGTTATGATTTTAACAGGTCACCATGTTTGGGCTTACCACCTTTCACAGAGTTTAAGTTTTTATGGCTTTTCATTTTTTACTGTATTTTATAGCTTTTCCCCAATCAGGAATCCATAGATATGATAGAACTCTGATGTTTGAGTGACAATAGGAAGGAAC